CGAAACTGATTTAGACAAAACCGGTTTTTAAAAAAAACCGAAAAAAGCCTATGTGCATCTCTAAACTATACAAATATAACAAATGTTGTGAGAAACAACGGAACCTAATTAGGATGAAATTGTCAAGAAAAATTAACAAATGCATCCTAATTATTTTTTGCTTACACTATTTGGCACAACAAATTGGTAATAGAGTTTCTAATGAGCTTTTAGTTTGTTTTGAGTTGGGTAACAGGCTTGACTTTCAAATTTGAGTCGTTAAAAGTCAAGACGGAGATTAAGGTAAAATGGCTTAAATATAAAAGTCTCGGGTTCAATTTGACTCTCATATTATAGTCGAGGGACCATAAATGTAAATAAATGTAACAACATTTGAATTCCACTATTGCACAACAATACACAAAAATAGTCTAATAGGTACTGTGTATCGTATAACGTATTCGTTTTGTTATCCATTTTAGTTGTTATCTCAATTTTTGATCAATAAGTTCAACAGGATGCGAGTGTACAATTACATGCACAAAAATCGGTTGGAGGGAGTGGTGCCACTGAAACCGCACTCACTCCCTCACCACGTAAGCGCCACATCATATTTTACCATTTAAGTGTGGTTTCTTGCCACACCAAGGGTGTGGTGCCACAGTTTTAGATTTTTTTTTTTTTTTTTTTTTTTTTTAACTATTTTAATTTAATAAAACTTATTTTTTAATAAAAAAACATAATTTTAAAAACATAATAATTCATTAATTAAAAATACAAATATCATACATTACTTAATTTAAAAAATAAAATAAAAACCTAAAAATTTAGAAAGACAAAGTAGAAACAAAAAACCAACAACTTAAAAAAAAACACACAAGAAACCATTAAAAACTTGAAAAAAAAAAAAAAACTAGAAATTAGCCACGATTCACGTAACGGTTTTTCACTTCCTCTTTCATCGCCAAAACCACTTCAAGCTCGGCCCCGGTCATATTCGACGTGTCCATTGCTAGTATTCGCATGTCGCTCTCCCTTTGTTTTCGAAGCTCTCTTTCAGAAGCAATTTTTAAAATCTTGTCCATTCTCTCTTTTATATCCTTCATGTCGGTTCCCATTTCTTTCAAATCATCTGAATCCGACGCTTTGCCTTTGCCTTTGCTTTTTGATTTGTCTCTTCCCAATGGTCGGGAAGGTGGTGAAACTGGAACAAGTTCATCTTCGTTCAGATCAAACTGAACACGAACATCTGATGTAGTGTGGTCGGACTCAGATGTTTTGCTGCGTTTTGACCCACTGTCGATATGTTGGTCAAATGTTTTGCTACTCAGCCATTTCCTGTTATCTTTCAAAAAATGTCAAACTTCCAGAAACTTGAAAGCCTTCAGATTTTCTTTTTGATACACTTTTAACGCTTTCTTCAAAATGACTTCATCGCTTTCTCCACTTTTCCATTGACGTTTCATGTTGTTCCACAAGTCATTAAACAACATGATTTCCTTGTTCATCTTCCCCTATTTGGAGTACACTTGATGTTTTGAACGGTATTCTCCACGGTTCATTCCTTTATGGAACCTGTGTAAAACGCGAATCCAAAAGCGGTCATGCTTTTGGTCTTTTCCAACCGACGCGTCTTCTGAAATATCGATCCAAGATTGTGCCAACACCAACGCTTCCAAAGGTTCCCAACATTTAGCCTCCGCCTTCTCTTTTCTTTTAGTCGCTGCTCGAGTGGGCTGAGTTTCTGTAACGAATTCCGGTTCAGAATCAGAAACAACCGTTTCTGGTTGTGTTTGTGTTTGTTGCACAAACTCGGGTTGGGACAAAAAATCAAATGGATTAAAATCCGGGTCGGGTTGTGGTAGTGGTGGTGTTTGTGGTTGTGGTTGCCCTGGTCGTTGTGGAAAATACGGATACATACCGCCGTAGTGGTAATACGGAGGTGAGAATACCGGTTGATCAAACGAAGGTACTGGGGTGTTGGTATTTCTGACTGGTGTTTTTTCTTTGTTAGGTCGTTTGGAAGATGACATTTTTCAAAGAAAATTGGATGAAATGGTTGTATTTATATGTGTTTAAAGGTTGTGTAAATGTAAAAGTAATAACATATGTATATATAGATGGAGTAAAAGGTTAAAAAAAAAAAAAAAACAAAACAAAAAAAAAAAAGAAAAAATCCGTTCACAAGAATCTTTGAACGGTCAAAAAGTGGCAGCCAATCAGCGAACGCGGTCCTCAAAGGCCGCAGTGCGGTCTCGACCGTCCAAAACCGCACCCTAGGGGCGGTGTTTCTGTCCCACGTGGCGCGGCCGCGGTCTAGAACCGCATACCACACCGCAAAGCCTGCATATTGACATTCTAGCACTATTTATTTATTTACCAAAATGTTTAAATGCCAAGTTTTCTTTTAATTCCAATGAAACCACATATAAATTCACCATTATTGTTTATACGTGGGCTGAAATCAACAAAACTTTGGGTCAATCAGTGTGAAAGGACTCACAAAAAGGGGCTTTCGAACACAAAGAAAAGCAAGGTATAGGCCTTTTCTTTGACTAAATGAAGATGAAACCCACAAAAAGAACACAAATAATAACAAAAAAAAGACCAAATCTGTGCCCAAAGGCTAAAGTTTGGAATAAAAATGAATAAAACTTGCAAGAAAAGTTTACCATCTCTTAAAATCAAAGAACAATGTATCAATTCTCATCATCTTCTATATATATTCCCTGTCAATTTCTCAATTATAAAACAAAAACTAAACATCTATTCTTGATATTTCACTTAAAAAAAACTTCATTATCAATGGCATATCTCCCAGGAAGAACAACACCTTTTGGTGACAATAAAAGCTCAAGTAGTTTAACATTCGAAGAATTTGTCCCTCCTTCCGCATGGACTGAAGACTCAACATACCATTACCTCCTTGTCGATCTTCCCGGTATATTAAACTTTCATCACAAATTTATTTCAAAAACTTTACAAATATTTCATATTTCTATTGTTATTACTTATTATTATTATTTTTAATTGTAGGTTTCAAGAGGCAGGAGTTAAAGCTTCAAGCCGATAACAAGACTCATATAGTGGTTAGTGGAGAAAGGCAAGATAGAGAGAACAAATACAAACGATTCGAGCAACGTTTTGAGTTGCCAACAAATGCTGATGTGGACAAAATCACCGGGAAGCTCGATGGCGAGATTTTATATATTAGTGTTCCGAAAAAAATAGAACCGCAACATCAAGAAATTAAACATGGCGGTGAGATTGAATCAGAACTAGAACCAGAAGCAAAACCCGCACCAACATCAGCACCAATATCAGCATCATCAGTACTAGAATCAGAACCGGAACCGGTGTCTTCAGACGAAGAGGACGATGATGACAAGAAATCAGATGCAAATAGAAATGAAAGTGATAAGAAAGGTGGTGAAAAGGGTGTTGAAAGAAAGGAAGATAAAAGGGTTTTTAATGAAGATTGGGAAAAAGAGGCTCATTTATATTTGAGAATTGCGATTGAGAAAATAAGAAAGAATAAAGGGATTGTTGCGACAGCAATCTTTGCGTTCTCGTTAGGGGTGATGGTAAGTCAGAAGTTTCAGTCAAATGGACAGACAGTAATTATATGATATTCATTAGGGGTGATGGTAAGTCAGAAGTTTCAGTCAAATGGACAAATAGTAATTATATGATATGACAAATATATTTGTAAACATTATGCGAATAAAATATGTAACGTAAATTGTGAATATATTAAATAATGTTTCGGTTTAATTAAAATGTAATCTTGAAATCGAATGAAAAAGGTAAATTCTTCATGATCATTGTTATCTTAAAGAAAAACACATAAGTATCAATGTTATGCTTTTTATTTATTTTATTTTTTTTTTATTTTTTTTATCTACAAGGATCAGATGCCACAGTATAATCTAGTGTAAGGTAAAACAGACATTTACCCACCTCAACATTTAATATTCTGTTAAAGGTACTCTGGAAACATTTGGAATAGACAATCTTTTTTGACCTAAGAGCCTTGACAAATTTAAATGACAGCTAATGGGTAAGTTTTGAAAATTGATGAACAGTATCCCTTGATCAAAGGAAGAGGTTTGAAAAAGGGGATGCTTTTTTTTATCCAAAAAAACCTTTTTCATGGTGCTTTTTTGACATGAAAAAGAAGAGGGGGGATGTGGAATCGTGTGCCTTGGAAGAATATTAGGGTTACAAGTGGTGTAAGATAGTGATTTTTATTTCTACAAAATGGAGTTGGAGTGAATGAGAATGTAGATTGATTGATGATGTGTGTGTTTGGGACAAAGAATCTAATGCTTATGTGTTATGTCCACAACAAGAATTTACTTGTTTCGCTAAAAAGCAACATATTCTCAAATTCTTTTTTAACTTCTTCACTACATCATCAAGACAAAAAATATATATTATATTCCAAAATCCTCCCAACAGAAAACATAAAAATATAACCTTTATTTTTCATCATCAATTATTTTCATTTTGGTAATCTTGTTTTAGTGAGATAGATGTATAGAAAATTAAAGATTATAAAGATATGTAGTGGTGATGAATTAAATCAAAAAGTAAATGATAAATTTAGAAAATAATATAATTTAACGAAACCCAATTAAAAATTAAAACTAAAAAAGTAGAATGCAACCTTCTTGAAGAGGGTATGGAATCTAATCTTAAACAACCTAAAACATTCTCTTCCAAATCTTTGTAGATATGCAAAAACATTCCAAATTTGCTTGGCATTTTAAAATACATATGGTATTTTAAAATATGTATTTTGGATATAAAATATTAAAAAAATACATGTTTTAAGACATATTTTATACGATTAGATTGTAAGTTTTACGCAAAAAAGAATAAGAAGATGATAAAAGACAGAGAACGCACTAGGGGAGAATTAAAAAAGTGGGTAGAGATGATTTTTGCCTCTTGAAAAAAACAAAGATCAAGAAAGGCACTCTCTATCGTTTCCAAGACCCACCACCACCGATGACACCATGACGACGGAGCAACAGCAACAGCAACAGCAACAACCACCGCCACCACAGCCGCCGCCAACAAGGCCAGTTCGGAGATTAGTTGTGGATGTTGTGGAGGCGCGTGATCTGCTTCCGAAAGACGGATTAGGTAGTTCAAGTGCTTATGTTGTTGCGGATTTTGATGGTCAGAAGAAGAGGACGTCGACGATTTCAAGGAGCTTGAATCCTGTATGGAATGAGAGCTTGGAATTTGTGGTTTCCGATCCGAGCACGATGGAATATGAAGAGTTAGAGATAGAGGTGTTCAATGACAAAAGATTGAGCAATGGCAGCGCTAGGAAGAATCATTTTCTAGGGCGAGTGAAGTTGTATGGAAGTCAGTTTGCCAGGAAAGGGGATGAAGGTTTGATTTATTTTCAATTGGAGAAGAAGAGTGTTTTTAGTTGGATTAGAGGTGAGATTGGTTTGAGGATTTACTACTATGATGATCTGGAAGTAGTCGCCGATCAGGAGCCGAATAATGACAATTCTCAACCGCCACCGTGTGAGAAGGAGGCGCCACCACAACAGCAGCAGCAGCAGCAGGAAGGGAGGCAACAAGAGGATGTAAGAATGGAAGGTCCTGCTCCGACAGAGGTTGTCATGGAGAATTCACAACCACCGCCGATGGCTACAGGGGAGGAAGCTCCACCGGCGGTGACAGTACACATGGAAAATCATCATAATCAGCAACACCAAGGGATTCATCCTCCATTTCATCCGGAATATCCCCCGGAAATTAGGAGAATGCAGGCAAGCAGAGTTGGAGTAGCAACCGGAGGAGGCGACCGAGTTAGAGTTTTGAAACGCCCCGATAATGGAGATTACTCGCCACGAGTGATACCGAGACGATCTGCAAATGGAGAATCTGAGAGAATTCCGGCGTACGACTTGGTTGAGCCGATGCAATATTTGTTCGTAAGGATCGTCAAAGCTCGTGGACTCTCACAGCACGAAAGCCCCTATGTAAGAATCGGTAGTTCCGTCCGATCAAAGCCAGGGATCCCAAAACCAGGTGAGCCACCTTCAAACCCAGAGTGGCACCAGGTATTTGCTCTCGCATACAACAAGCCGGAATCCGCCGATTCCTCGACTCTCGAGATCTCAATTTGGGATGCACAATCGGAGAATTTCCTCGGCGGTGTATGCTTCGATCTCTCCGACGTTCCTGTTCGCGATCCACCAGACAGTCCGCTTGCTCCGCAGTGGTACCGCCTCGAAGGCGGCGACGATCCTAACGCCGCCGGAAAAGTTTCCGGGGACATACAACTCTCTGTTTGGATCGGAACTCAAGCCGACGACGCATTCCCGGAATCATGGAGCTCAGACGCACCATACGTTTCACACACTAGATCAAAGGTTTATCAATCGCCTAAGCTATGGTACCTTCGAGTTACAATAATGGAAGCTCAGGACCTCCAGATTGCCTCAAATCTTCCTCCATTAACAGCGCCGGAGGTTCGAGTCAAAGCACAGCTAGGGTTTCAGTCCGTAAGAACAAAAAGAGGGGTAATGAACAATCACACGGCGTCGTTTCACTGGAATGAAGACTTGGTGTTCGTCGCCGGGGAACCACTAGAAGATAGCTTGATCTTACTCCTAGAGGACAGAACGGGGAATGATCCAGTGCTGCTAGGACACGTCTTGATCCCTGTAGCTGCAATTGAGCAACGAATAGATGAACGCCACGTGGCATCTCGGTGGGTGTCGTTGGAGGGTGGTCCAGGAGGATCATATTGTGGTAGAATTCATTTAAGAATGTGCTTGGAAGGTGGTTATCACGTGCTGGATGAGGCAGCGCACGTGTGTAGTGACTTTCGCCCAACCGCAAAGCAACTATGGAAACCGGCTGTCGGAATTTTAGAACTTGGAATTCTCGGAGCTCGTGGGCTTCTTCCGATGAAGTCTCGGGGAGGCGGAAAAGGGTCTACAGATCCTTATTGTGTAGCAAAATACGGAAAAAAGTGGGTCCGAACCCGAACCATAACAGACAGTTTTGATCCCCGATGGAACGAACAGTACACGTGGCAAGTCTACGACCCGTGTACTGTCCTCACCATCGGAGTCTTTGACAATTGGCGCATGTTTGCGGACATGGTAGAAGAAAAACCTGATTTCCGGATCGGAAAAGTTCGAATACGGGTATCCACATTAGAAAGCAACAAAGTGTACACCAACTCATACCCGTTGCTAGTTTTACAACGCACCGGGTTGAAAAAAATGGGCGAAATCGAGGTAGCAGTACGATTTGCCTGCCCGTCATTGTTGCCCGACACATGTGCGGTGTACGGGCAGCCTTTGTTGCCACGAATGCATTACTTGCGGCCACTTGGAGTGGCCCAACAAGAAGCATTACGTGGCGCAGCCACTAAAATGGTGGCGGCCTGGCTGGCAAGGTCAGAGCCGCCATTAGGTGCAGAAGTTGTTAGATACATGTTAGATGCGGATTCCCATGCTTGGAGCATGCGAAAAAGTAAAGCAAATTGGTTTCGGATTGTGGGGGTGCTTGCGTGGGCGGTTGGACTGGCGAAATGGTTAGATAATATTAGGAGGTGGAGGAATCCGGTTACAACAGTTCTAGTCCATTTGTTATATTTGGTTCTTGTTTGGTACCCAGATTTGATAGTTCCAACTGGGTTCTTATACGTTTGTTTGATCGGAATCTGGTATTACAAATTCCGACCAAAAAGTCCAGCAGGTATGGACATTCGTCTCTCTCAAGCAGAGACTGTTGACCCTGATGACTTGGACGAGGAATTCGACTCGTTTCCAAGTTCAAGGCCGCCCGAGCTAATACGTGCCCGATATGACCGGTTAAGAATGTTGGCTGCCCGGGTCCAGACCGTGTTGGGTGATTTTGCAACACAAGGAGAAAGGGTTCAAGCCTTGGTGAGTTGGAGGGACCCAAGGGCTACAAAATTGTTCATTGGGATTTGTCTTATGATCACGGTGGTGCTATATGTGGTGCCACCCAAGATGGCGGCGGTGGCTCTTGGATTTTACTTTTTGCGACACCCTATGTTCAGGGAACCAATGCCGCCGGCTAGTTTGAATTTCTTTAGAAGGCTTCCTAGTTTATCTGATAGGCTAATGTAGTGATGAGATATACAATAATGTTTGTTTGTAGAGTTAATTGGCCCCACATTGGGTGCTCCAAATTTTCAATGAAAATATGTTGAGCTTAATAAATAATGATATATTTTTGGGAGTTTTATTCATTTTTCCATTCTTTTTCTTTCTTTTATTTATTATCTTCACCCAAGAAAGGAATTTACCAAGTTTGAGACCGACAATTTGGCACTTTTTTCGAGTCAAATGGGAGGTGGGGTAAAAGAATGATATAGGATAACATTCCAAGTCCACATTGAAATTGGGCCAATGTGAGGCATATCGCCAAAATTTGTGAATTGTGAGAAACCATTCTAAATTGAAAATCCTTAAAACTTTATTTAACATGATGCAACATCATCTTACCATTTTGACCTTTTCAAAATAGTTTTATTTTGACCAAAGTTTGTTCATTTTAATCAATTTTTCATGTTATATTTAAAATGACCCTTTAATGAAAGTATGTTGCTATAAATTGCTTAAAAATGCTTATTTTGTTCGATTTTAACATGATGCCAAAATAACATCATTTTACCATTTTGATCTTTCAAAAACATACATATTGTAACAAAAAAGTGTTGAAAAAAAAATCATTTTTACCTGACTTCAAAATTCCCCTTTAATGAAGTGTGTTGTTATAAAATTTTCAAAAAATAATCATTTTCTACAATTTTGTCATGATGCTAAAACAATCACATTTTTACCATTTTGACCTTACTAAAATAGTCTCCTTTTAATCAAAGTTTGCACATTGTAATAAATTGTTAGTGTTACTTTTCAAATGCCCCTTTAGTGGAAGTATGTTGTTATATATTGCTTATTTTGTTCGATTATGACATGATGCAAAAACAACCTCATTTTACCATTTTTGAGCTTTCGAAAACTTCGATCCCATTTTGACCAAAGTTTGCTTATTTTAATCAAATTTTCATGTTACATTTAAAATGGCCCTGTAATGGAAGTATATTGCCATAGATTGCTTAAAGAATGCTTATTTTGATCGATTTTGACATGATAATAAAATAACCTCATTTTACCGACCTTTCAAAAACAGTCCCATATTGACAAAAGTTTGCTTATTTTAATCATTTTTTAATGTTACGATTAAAATGAACCTTTAATGGAAATACATTGCTACAAATTGCTTAAAAATGCCTATTTTGCTCGATTTTGACATGGAGCTAAAACAACCTCATTTTTCCATTTTGAGCTTTCCAAAACAGTCCCTTTTTTGAACAAATTTTGCTTAGTTTAATCAATTTTTAGTGTTACATTTAAAATGGCCGTTAATGGAATTACATTGCTATAAATTGCAAAAAAATGTTTATTTGGTTTGATTTTAACATGATGCCAAAAACATCATTTTACCATTTTTTTACCTTTCCAAAGCACTCACATTTTAACAAAAAATCTTGAAAATAATTTTTGTTAGGTGACTTCACAATTCCCCTTTAATGGAAGTATGTTGCTATAAATTTTTCTGAAAATAGTCATTTCCTACAATTTTTACCTGATGCTAAAACAATCCCATTTTTTACCATTTTAATTTTTACGAAAAGTCTCATTTTGACCAAAGTTTGCTCATTTAAATAAATTTTTAATGTTACACTTCAAATACCCCTTAATGAAAGTACATTCCTTTAAAATGTTTTAAAAACGCTTATTTTGCACCATTTTTACATGATGTCAAAACAACCTCATTTTTACAATTTTTACCTTTCCAAAACAGTTGTATTTTTAACAAAAAAAAATGTTGACAATAAATCATTTTTACATGACTTCAAAAATTCCCCTTTAATTGAAGTATGTTGCTATAAATTGATAAAAAAAATGATTACTTTCTATAATTTTGATCTGTTGCTAAAACAATCATATTTTTACCATTTTGACCTTTCCATAATAATAGTTTTGTTGGTGTATTAATTTCACCAATCCATCTCCATAACTACATGAATCTTCAAACCAACGCTTCATTGATCTCAAACAAACAACAACCATATGAAAACTATAAAACTCACAAACACAAAAAACATAGATTAGACCTTCTAACGTAGATCTAAAAAAATAAGAAGCAAAGCCCTAACTTCCATTTCTTCTACCTTAATCGATGCTTCGTTGAGGTAGCACTGTTCTTCAATTCTTAGTCTTCATATACCTGAAATGATTTTGTAACAGCTGGGTTCCACAGAGCGGAGAAAATGATTTTGAAAAAGCATTGAGAAGTTAGCTCTTAAGTGAAAATAATTATATATGAATATTCACCAAAATAACTAATTCTAACTATTTACACATAACTACCTTTAACTATACATATTTACAAAAGTATCCACTATTAACTTTGACTTTATAATTTCACATCATCCCCTCAAGATGGACATTGATGAATATCATTGAAGTTCATCTTGGAGAGAAGATATTGAAATTGCTGACTACAAAGTCCTTTTGTAAAGATATCTGCGAGTTGTTGATTAGTTGGTATGTGTCGAGGCATAACAAATCCAAGTTTGAATTGATCTCGAACTAGATGACAATCAATATCGAGATGCTTAGTTTGTTCATGGAAGATTGGATTTTCAGTGATATGTATAGCTGATTTGTTGTCACACCATAGAGATACAGGAATCTTCAATTTTACTTTCAAATTTCTTAGGATGTAGCTTATCCATAAAAGTTTACAAACAGTTGCAGCTAAACTTCTATACTCTGCTTCACAAGATAATTTTGAAACTGTCTTCTGTTTCTTTGTCTTCCAAGATACGAGTGAAGATCCAAGAAATATACAGTATCCCGATAATGACCTTTTAGTATCAGTGCATGATGCCCAGTCTGAATCACTATAAGCAATAATGGTTAAAGGTGATGAATCTTTTGGAAAAAATAAACCTTTAGAAGGACACCCTTTAAGGTATTTTAACACATGTAGAGCAACTTTCCAATGGATATCAATTGGTGAATGAAGAAATTGACTCAATTGTTGTACAACATAACTGATATCTGGTCTTGTGAAGTTTAGATATAACAATCTTCTAATTAATATTCTGTATTTTTTTGGTTATTGTAATATTTTTCCTTTGTCTGAACACAATTGCAAATTTTTCATAACTGGTGTTTTGTAGGTTTAAGTCCAGTCATACCAGTATCTTCAATATATCCATTATATATTTTCTTTGATTAACATAAAGTCCTTCTTCTGTTTTTAACAATTCTACTCCAAGGAAGTAGCTTGCTTCTCTCAAATCCTTTATTGTAAAAGCTGCATGTAATTGATCTTTAACTTCTTGTATTTTACTTGCATTTGGTCCAGTTATTAAAACATCATCCACATATACAACTAGTGCAAGAAAATCAATTCCTTCTCCTTTTGTGAATAAACAATGATCATGAGATGATTGTTTAAACCAAAAACTTATCAATTTGTTACATAACTCTATATGCCATTGTCTACTTGCTTGCTTCAGCCCATATAGTGAGCTATTCCGCATTTCATTCTTCCGTTGATTGATTTTGTTCATCAATCTATTTCGTTATTCAACTGTTATCGATTGATATTGTTTCATTAATCGATTCGATCTTATATTTTCCATATTCATTTCAAATTCATATCAATTGATCTTGTTCAACAATTGATTTTCGATTTTTTTCATTAATTTTGTTGATTGCGTGATTGTTCACCAATCAATCCGTGTTCTTCAGCAAATATGAATTCAGATCACACTATTGATGCAAATACTTCTTCGTTTTCGAACAACAGTTCTATCAATAATGTCAAAAATAATGATCCGAGTATCTTTCTTGTTTCGACTCATCTTACTGGAAATGAGAATTACATGCAATGGAAATTCTCAATTCGAATTGCTTTGGGAGCCAAAAAGAAGAACATAACTAATTCTAACTATTTACACATAGCTACCTCTAACTATACATATTTACAAAAGTATCGCTCTATTAACTGATACCATTTCAACATTGTTACGAAGAATTTAGAAAGAGAAAGTAGTAGAAGATGATAATCTGTTCGTCATATTCTCATTGAACTTCATGAGCTGAGTTTATACAAAGATGAACATAACCAAAATAACTAATTCTAACTATTTACACATAGCTACCTCTAACTATACATATTTACAAAAGTATCCCTCTATTTACTTTGACTTTATATTTTCATAACTATTGTTGTAAATGTTTTTTTTAATTATCTAGACTTTTAAAACCTTTAATAATATTCACAATTTCTCCGAGGTACCTTGTATCCATAAACATAAATCACAATTCATAAGATCATCAACATGACCATTTTCAAATTATTAGAATTCAACAATGTGTAAATACAAAAATACAGACCTTTCTTTCTTTTGATTTGAAAACTGGTAATCATAGCATCCATTGAACTTACAAGAACTTTTTCACGAAGAAAAGACAAAGATTACAAAATCGACAAGTTTAGAGAAAGGAGAGAAACGAACATTAATGTGAGCGAAAGCCAAATTGTAAAGATTGACGGTGTAAGTTTTCGAAAATCGTTGCAATTAAATATTAGGGCAGTAAAAATCCTTTTTTTTTCTTGTCAAAACCCCACATTATCTTTATCTTAATTCTTTTTCCAAGTGAAATTTTTACCCAATCAGCTTCTTAACCACTCGATGTCCGTCAATAGGCCAACAATGGATTCGAAACAAAGAGCGAGAAAGAAATAAGAAAGAAGAAAATAGAGAAGTGATTACCAATAAAAAAAGAGCAAAATAACAAAGTTAATATCTTACCCGATTCTAAGGCTGAGGTAATTTCAAGGTTAAAAGTGTTATCTTCAATATATTAAAACCCAATTCAAATGAGAGCTTTAAGATGCTCCATATCGGAGGATATTTAATTAGGGTGAGGGTGAAAATCCAAAGTTTTTAAAGATTTTATATGTTTACTTTTTAAATTGATATTTATATTCTATGTTTTGGTTACAGGAAGTCTAGTTTATGATAATTCGAAAAGATACT